TCACGTGACGTCAATTTTTTTGCTAAATTTAGGGGGGAACCTGACATTTTGTAGGTCCCGTGTCGTCAGATCACGTGACATCAAGCTTCCCACCAAATTTACGGGGGAAACTGAATTGCTGCATAGGTCACAGGACGTAAATTTTTATGCTAGATTTAGAGGGGAGCCTAACATTTTCTGTAGGTCCCGTGTCGTCAGATCACGTGACATCAAGCTTCCCACCGAATTTAGGAGGGAAAATGAATTGGTGCATAGGTCCCGTGACGTAAATTTTTATGCTAAATTTGGAGGGGAACCTGAAATTTTCTCTTGGTCCCACGTCGTCAGATCACGTGACATCAAGCTTCCCACCAAATTTACGGGGGAAACTGAATTGCTGCATAGGTCACAGGACGTAAATTTCTGTGCTTGATTTAGAGGGGAGCCTAACATGTTCTGTAGGTCCCGTGTCGTCAGATCACGTGACATCAAGCCTCCCACCAAATTTACGGGGGAAACAGAATTGGTGCATAGGTCACAGGACGTAAATTTCTATGCTAGACTGAGAGGGGAGCCTAACATTTTCTTTAGGTCCCGTGTCGTCAGATCACGTGACATCAAGCTTCCCACCAAATTTACGGGGGAAACTGAATTGGTGCATAGGTCGCGTGACATAAATTTTTATGCTAAATTTAGAGGGGAACCTGAAATTATCTCTAGGTTCCATGTCGTCAGATCACGTGACATCAAGCTTCCCACCAAATTTACGGGGGAAACTGAATTGCTGCATAGGTCACAGGACGTAAATTTCTATGCTAGATTTAGAGGGGAGCCTAACATTTTCTGTAGGTCCCGTGTCGTCAGATCACGTGACATCAAGCTTCCCACCAAATTTACGGGGGAAACTGAATTGGTGCATAGGTCACAGGACGTAAATTTCTATGCTAAATTTAGAGGGGAGCCTAACATTTTCTGTAGGTCCCGTGTCGTCAGATCACGTGACATCAAGCTTCCCACCAAATTTACGGGGGAAACTGAATTGGTGCATAGGTCACAGGACGTAAATTTCTATGCTAGATTTAGAGGGGAGCCTAACATTTTCTGTAGGTCCCGTGTCGTCAGATCACGTGACATCAAGCTTCCCACCAAATTTACGGGGGAAACTGAATTGGTGCATAGGTCGCGTGACAAGTTTTTATGCTAAATTTAGAGCGGAACCTGAAATTTTCTGTAGGTCCCATGTCGTCAGATCACGTGACATCAAGCTTCACACCAAATTTTCGGGGGGAAACTGAATTGGTGCATAGGTCACAGGACGTAAATTTCTATGCTAGATTTAGAGGGGAGCCTAATATTTTCTTTAGGTCCCGTGTCGTCAGATCACGTGACATCAAGATTCCCATCAAATTTACGGGGGAAACTGAATTGGTGCATAGGTCACAGGACGTAAATCTCTATGCCAGATTTAGAGGGGAGCCTAACATTTTCTGTAGGTCCCGTGTCGTCAGATCACGTGACATCAAGCTTCCCACCAAATTTACGGGGGAAACTGAATTGGTGCATAGGTCGCGTGACATAAATTTTTATGCTAAATTTAGAGGGGAACCTGAAATTTTCTCTAGGTCCCATGTCGTCAGATCACGTGACATCAAGCTTCCCACCAAATTTACGGGGGAAACTGAATTGCTGCATAGGTCACAGGACGTAAATTTCTATGCTAGATTTAGAGGGGAGCCTAACATTTTCTGTAGGTCCCATGTCGTCAGATCACGTGACATCAATCTTCCCATTAAATTTACGGGGAAACTGAATTGGTGCATAGGTCACGTGACGTAAATTTGTATGCTAGATTTAGAGGGGAGGCTAACATTTTCTGTAGGTCCCGTGTCGTCAGATCACGTGACATCAAGCTTCCCACCAAATTCAGGGGGAAAATGAATTGGTGCATAGGTCACGTGACGTAAATTTTTATCCTACTTTTAGCGGGAAACCTGATATTTTTTATACGTCCCGTGACTTGAGGTCACGTGACATCAATTTTCTCGCTAAATTTACGAGAGAAACTTAATTGGTGCATAGGTCGCGTAACGTCAATTTTTATGCTAATTTATGCGGGAAACCTGATATTTTTTTACGTCCCGTGACTTGAGGTCACGTGACATCAATTTTCTCGCTAAATTTACGAGAGAAACTTAATTGGTGCATAGGTCGCGTGACGTCAATTTTTATGCTAATTTATGCGGGGAACCTGATATTTTTTTACGTCCTGTGACTTGAGGTCACGTGACATCAATTTTCTCGCTAAATTTACGAGAAAAACTTAATTGGTGCATAGGTCGCGTGACGTCAATTTTTATGCTAATTTATGCGGGGAACCGGATATTTTTTACGTCCCGTGACGTGAGGTCACGTGACATCAATTTTCTCGCTAAATTTACGAGAGAAACCTAATCGGTGCATAGGTCGCGTGACGCCAATTTTTATGCTAATTTATGCGGGGAACCTGATATTTTTTTACGTCCCGTGACTTGAGGTCACGTGACATCAATTTTATCGCTAAATTTACGAGAGAAACTTAATTGGTGCATAGGTCACGTGACGTCAATTTTTATGCTAATTTATGCGGGGAACCTATTTTTTTACGTTCCGTGACTTCAGGTAACGTGACATCAATTTTCTCGCTAAAGTTAGCGGGGAAACTGAATCGATGCATAGGTCACATGACGTTAATTTGTTCGCTAAATTTAGCGGGGAAACTGAATTGATGCATAGGTCACGTGACGTCAATTTTTATTCTAATTTTATCCGGGAACTTGACATCTTCTGTAGGTCCCGTGACATCAAATCACGTGACATCAATTTTCCCGCCAAATTTAGCGGGAATCTGAATTGGTGCATAGGTCACGTGACGTAAATTTTTATCCTAATTTTAGCGGGGAACCAGATATTTTTGTACGTCCCTTGACTTGAGGTCACGTGACATCAATTTTTTCGCTAAATTTAGCGGGGAAACTGAATGAATACCCAGATCATGTGACGTTATTTTATCTGCTAACTTTAGCCGGGAAACTGCATTGGTGCGTGCATGGGTCATGTGACGTCAATTTTTTCGCTAAATTTAGTGACGAACCTGCATTTGTGTGTGGGTCCCATCACGTCAGCACCTGATAACAATTTTTCCGCCAAATTTAGTGGGCAAACTGAATTGGTGCATAGGTCACATGATGTAAATATTTCCGCTATATTTTGCTGGGAAACTGAATTTTTCTGTGGGTCCCGTGAGGTCAGGTCACGCTGCATCAATGTTGCCGCCAAATTTACCTAAGAAACTGCATTTGTGCATTATGCATAGGTCACGTGGCGTCAATTTTTCCGCTATATTTAGTGGGCAAACTGAATTGGTGCATAGGTCACGTGACGTAAATTTTTCCGCTATATTTACCGGGGAACCTGATCTTTTTTTGTGGGTGCCATGAGGTCAGGTCACGTTGCATCAATGTTGCCGCCAAATTTACCTAGGAAACTGCATTTGTGCATTATGCCTAGGTCACGTGGCGTCAATTTTTGCGCTATATTTAGTGGGCAAACTGAATTGGTGCATAGGTCACGTGACGTAAATTTTTCCGCTATATTTACTGGGGAACCTGATCTTTTTTTTGTGGGTGCCATGAGGTCAGGTCACGTTGCATCAATGTTGCCGCCAAATTTAGCGGGGAAACTGAATTGGTGCATAGGTCACGTGTCGCTTTTTCCGCTAAATTTAGCAAAAGAACTGACGGCGTTTACGCTTACGCCGTAGAAAAACTGGAACGGGCCACTAACAGATGTCTCTGTAAAAACAAAAACCTTGACGGATAGGTTTGGAGAATCCAAAGGCTCAAAAACCGACCATTTTCTAACACGCAAACCTAAAATCTAAGGCGGTACACAGTAACATGTGGCCCCGCATGCGCCCGCGTTTAGTGTGTGTGTGTGTGTAAGCGTTGCGAATAAGATGGGGGGGGGGGGGGGAAAGAGAGGGCCAATAGTGGATGCGCACCCCCGCGTTTAGTACGGGATCGGTAATGGCCGACCGGCGCGTGTAGCCAATTGGTGTAGCTCACACTGCGCCCGCCGTCGCTAGGTGGTTACTAGGCGCGGCGTCACTCCTGTGGGAGGCGCCAAGAGGCAGCAAAAGGCAACCGAGGACAATAGATGGCCAGACTCTTCCCCTATATATAACTCTGATAGAGTGCCTTCCTACACACGCGCGCTTTTGCTTGAGTGGTGACATCTCAGCCATTTTTCAGCCCAATCGTTTCTTTATGCATGTTGAAGTGCGCGCAATCAGGTGTCACTCAGCTCGAGCGCGTAGCTTTGGCTAATACATACACGCCATTTTACCGCCCAGGTAACGTACCAAGTGCGCCAGAGCGTCACGTGTTGGCACATTCAGGGCAACAAGGGATGTCTCACCCTGAGACAGACATGTAGCACCCTTGACTCTGATTTGCACCAGCGTCCCTGCTCCCCACGTGGCCGAGGCGCGCAGCAACCACCTCGCATTCCTCGAAATATGGAAGAAAGTGTGGCGCACGTGCGTTGCGCGCCATAGGCCATGGCCACGTGGGGGCTGGACGGCTGGAGCAAGGATCCGCTCCGGTAGAAAACTAAAAGTTACAAATGCGTTCAAATTGAGCGTTTTTTTTTTTTTTTTTTGGAACGTCGTAAAAGGATCTAAGCACCTTGCATATTTCTAAACTTATTTGATTCAGTGGTTTTTGTTGGTGCTCAGCAAGTTTCTAGTCGGAACCATATGTTAGTGTTAACTAATTAAAAGTACATAAGTAAAGTTCAGCAAATCATCGGAATAATGAGAATGTTTATATCCCCGACGTCCGTCATGACTGGCAGTTTTTAGTCTTCACTGAAACACCCGGTATACATTGACCGCAAGTTTTCTTTTTGCAACAACAATTACCCTCCTTTGTCCCATGTTTTTTTTTTCTCAATAAACATTCAAATGACTGTTGTTTCCACAGGATGGCGTTGCCGGCCTGGTTAGTGCGTTATTGGTGGTGAGTGCTGTTTTTTGATGATGCGACTGTTTGTGTGGGTGCTGTTTCAAGTGTACTAAACTCACACAATGTTCCACTTGGTCCCCCTTTCTAAAGAGAAGTCTCGAAAATATTGTTGTTTAAAGCGTTAAATGGGAGATTTTATACTTGTATTATCTTGTGACTATGCACACCACAACCAGTGTTAGCCGCTTTCTGAAACCCTAAGAGCAGGATAATAAGCGATCGTGTTTTGATACTATTGTATACCCCCAAACCCGGTACGCTATTTACATTATTCTTCTAAGCTACTACAACTCTTTACCTTTGCAACATTCATTTGAGGATCAATGAACATCTTTTTTATTTTTATTGTTTTCATTTGCTAAAACTAGTAGTGCATACTCAATTATTACAGACAACTAGTCAAAGGAATAGTTCCTTTTATACAACCATTCTAGATTAAGGTAACTTAAAAACTGAAGAAAAAGATAAATATTCAAGTTTGGGTTATAATGAACCAAGGTCGTCTCGTGCAAGAATTCAGTAAAGCGTGTGAGATTTCTTTTTAGTTTGTTATTACTAATTCGGTATTTTTGAAAGAATAAACGAGGAACTGAAGAAAGAACTCTAAGTTGGAAGTTCATTGCTAAAGCACGCAATAAATATACGTACGGATACACATTATACGTCTTGTATCTGTTGTGTGAAAAATCATGACTTCAGTGGTCTTATTGTTTTCTGTCAATTTTTTTATTATTTAGCGTTCTTGTTACAATCGGCCCGCTACCACTAAATATAATTTAAGATTCTACGTCTGTTTGTCTTCATAAGATATGATTTTGTAAGGCTATGGGCTTCTAAGGCTTTTTTTGACTGGTTTCGAGTGCTGCTATTGTAATTTGAGACTACTTTCAGACCTCTTCTTATTTTCAAGCTTTTACTCCTTGGTTATATATTCTGATGAGATGCATCTAAAAATGAAGTGTCGCAATGAAGTAATATGTATAGCACAATAATGTACAGTGCATGGATTTCACCAATTTTCTTAAAACTTGTGTTGATTTCATATTCAGTGCGCTGTTAACGGGATCTCGGACCTCAACCTGGGCTCGCAGCTGTATCTTATCGAAGGAGCGCTAACTTTTCTCTTGGAAAGAGCTGGACTGGGTACGTTATTTCACGTTAGCGGTAACCTCATTTCTGCACGCGTGTGATTTTTCTGTTGCTCATAAGCGCTGACATGATTTGTCTGCGCAAACTTCATCTGATAATCAAAGCGCAACCATGCACGAACTTCATCTGATAATCAGCTACAGTAGCCCCCAGCCATCAATGGTGAAGAGATAGCAGGCACGATTTCTACTGTTTGCCATATTATACTAACAAACTAATTTTTTATACTTTATATCATTGCAGTGAAAGTTACTTCGGAACAGGGGACTCTCACCGAACTTCACTTTTGCTACTGACAATTTTCTTTTCTTTCTTTCTGCGTAAGTTGTTAGTGCGTTCTTACGTGCTAACAGCTTCTCCATACTGCATTAATTTGTTTGCAATTTTTTTCATAAGTACTAAATATATGCCCCTTCCTTTTCGCAGAAAATTAAAATAAGAGTGCGAATAAAGAATTCCACACAAATTATAGGGATGAAAAGCTGGGCAAAGACAGGCGATGCTATCTTCCCTCACCAAGGACATTGAACTTCGTCACTGCGTGCAATCTCCATCATTCCTTCCCCTTTTCTCTTGCAATGTATCGCCTATTTTCAGTCTCTGTATTTTGAATTTCTAGATTATAACTAATCAACTATATCAACTAATATGGTCGTCAAATTAATATATGCATCTTCGGTGTGACGACAATTTTACACTCAGTGTCAAAATTATTGTCGTAGTGTGTGCCAAAAACAATAAAAGGTAGGAAAATCTGTCTTAGGTAGTTTAGATAAACGAGTTTTCCACTTCACTCTTTGGAAAATTCCAACTCGTGCCGCCCATTGAAAATATAACAAAGCCAAACCGGCCACAAGTGACTTGACTATTACTGCAACAAAAAAAGATCGAGGAACACCTAAGCACTTCTTAGGAGTTGTGAATGCGAAAGCATGTACATCGATCTTGTGCTTCGCGTGTTGGCGAGCTGACGCGCTGAATAGCGCTGGCTAGAGTTCCTGTATAGGCACCCTACAAGAGCCAGAGTTTAGCGTTCATCTCTGTTGCGCCGTGTTTCCTGCAGGGCATGTTGATACAGCTCTTCACTTGACTGAATTCGGCGAGTTGCGGCGCCGCACATTCGAGGCGCGCGGCGCGCTCCAAAGCAGAGGAACGTGAAGCCCCTCTGTCCTGGCAAAAGTGTCTTCGTTCATCGCGGTGGAAATGCTCGAGAAACGTGCCGTGCGCCACTTCTTGGAAGAACATGGCGTCTGAAATCTAGCTCAGTGCTGCGCTGTGTCGCCATGATCTTCGCAAGGGCTGCACGTTGCACGTGCCTCGTGAATCAACGCACTTTGCGCTACTTTTAAAACAGGAAAAGACTAGGGAACGTAAGCCGCAGACGCGGGCAACATCTGCTTTCTCCCAACTTTTGATCCGGCTCCTCACGTGATCGGATCTCGGCGAAAAGCGGCGCGGCGGCACGTGGAAAACAGCCGCGCAACTCTGGCTCCCGTACGGAGCCTATAGGAAGTATTGACTGGCAGCCATAGCTGAGTGCGCGATTGCCGAGCGCGTGCTGACGGCGAGCTTCCACAGTTATTTCGAAACATGCATTCCATACCATCGGGATTAGCGGTCTTAGCAGCCCATTAATGTGAGCTCGTTCTGAGCATGGGCTCTAAACAGCGCCCACAGATATGGCGTCCAGTGAATACCCCCTATACAAGAACCCTAGCGCTGACGGACACGCAGGGCCATAAGGTGGCCGGTCGTTGAAACTGACGCGCAGCGTTAGTTTCAACGACCGGCCGCTTTATGGCGCTGCGTCTCCGGTGAAGGAAAGCCCGGTCGACGCATGCTAGCCAATGGGATCGAAGCGGTGTAAAAGGTGCCGTTGGCTGTCGACGTGCGCTAGCCAATGGGATCGAAGCGGTGTAAAAACAGCTGTTTGGCGTGGTTTCAAAGCTGATGACGTCGGCTCGCTCCATGAGACAGTTAGTGCTTTCACATTAATGTATGTTAACATCATCGTTAATTATGGGCTTTCTTCTGTTCAGGACTTCTTGCCGATGCGATTCAGGGGTTGTGTAAACTAAGTTTACTTGACTGCTCTGGCTTTTCTCTGGACAACCAAGCCATTTGCGCAGAGCCGATTGTGCTTAATTTTCCAACAGCTCTTGGACTCGGAAAAGTAAGACTATTTAACGAAACGAATATGTTTCATACCCTGCTAGCAGTGTGTTTTGTTTATAAAATACTATATATCAAGGCCTAATAGCACCAATCAACTTTGTTACATGCTGCTGCTAGGACTTAAATTCATTCTTTCTTCTCGTTTTTTAAAATTTATTTATCAGTGCTAGCCTTGTTTTGAGAGACGTTTAATTATATATAAAAAAAATTGGCATGTTTTGCAATTTGCAAGAAGTAAAATAATTGCTACCTTTACGTTTTTAGACGTTTCCCATGAAACAAGACTCGTGATCTTTAGCATAACATTATTGCGTCGTGGTAATAAAAACAAATTTGACGTCATCGAATTTTCACAAACGATTCAAAAAGATGATTCATAAACACAAATAAAGATGAAGTAGTATTTATCGCCTTGACGGCTAAATATGCTTTCTCTGTACTAACATGATTTTATCGCAGTGTGTAGGCGATATGGCTGAAGTCTGCATAGAAGGAAATCCAGCAACCGTAAGCGATAGCTCATATTTTCTACTTGCTCTTCCTATGACATATTCATGACTATGAGTAATTTCTCGTTCTCTTTATGCTTCAACTCGCTTTCAGGACACTCTGGTTAAGTCGATTTTCGATTTTCTTACGGTAAGTACAAATACGCCAGCTTTCACACCTTTAAATTGCTAATATTCTTGTAAACGTTTACTCCAGAAAGTATGCCAGAAAATAACTTAAATTCAACAAGTATTGGAAACTGCGGGGCCAAAGTTGTGCCTAAGAAAGTTTTGGAGCAGGGCACTTCTTAGAAACAAGATACTTTGGGAAAACCGGGGACATGCAGAAGTTTGACTTTTGCGTGGTTTGCCACATGAGCGCCACCGTAGCTGCCATACAAATTACAAAGATGCCAGATGATATCATATCTACCAACAGCCAAGCCTAATTCTGGCATTTGCTCGGGGATTTAGACCCAAAGTAAAACGCGCAAAGAAGTTAAGTCTGGCTCTTTTGCACTTTAAAAAAATGTAAACAGACACTTTGCACAGAATGTCAGTTTAGTTTCTCTGCTGGATTCTTCGGGCTTTCAGGGTCACAAATTCCGCGACAAGAACCAAACTTTCTTTCCATAAAAGGGCACTGCAATGAAGTTAAAGATCATAGAATAGGCACATAGTTTTTTTTCGCAATGTTTCCAGAAGAAGAAAAAACATTTCGCACAATATTTATGCCGTTAGACGCAAGTTAGGTGAAGGTCACGGCCCACTCTAAGCCTTGCCCACAAATCAGTTGCCCGCCCACTACTACTGAATTGGCTTGGCTGCTCGGCCGAACACGCTAACAAGCCTGGTGTCCCCCTTTCCCGATATCCCGCGCGTCTAGTCTGGCGTCTGACAACGCGTGCTAGTTGTGCGAGCAGACGCGCGACAGCCTCCTGCATCATCCGTCTGTCGTCGTCTACCATGCACGGAGGACGCGGACATAAACGCTGCCCGTCGGCGTCCGTTTTCGCCTTCCGTCGTTTGCTCTTCCGCCCCCGTCTAAAAACGTTTACGGCGCTCACAAGACTCGACCATGAGAGCGGCGTTCTAGCGTATCTTGCGCGAGTGACGGTCCAATACAAGCGTCTGTCAGCGTCTGTCAGCGTCTGTCGATATGCGGTAAAAAGCGATTAAGAGAACTAAAAAAGCAACAAAATAAATATGCAGTCAATTCAGCTTTTATGTTTTCATGTTTGTTTTGCATTTCATCCGCGAGCAAGGTGAGAGAACGCCATGACGCACAAGTAAAACGTGACCTAAAATTATTCACTTTGGCAGGCCAGGTGCACTGCAAAACTTGAAAGCTACTTGCATTTAGAAGCGAAATGACGGGAACACAACTGGACTAACTTGATAAAAGTCGAACTCCCGATTGACTCCAACCAAATGGCTCGCAAATTCTTACCCTTGTAGGTATCTTCTCGGTGTTGAAACCATGGTCGTAATCACAACGGTTGTCCAATTCACAGAGCAGCTGCAGGCCGCTTTTATGAGAAACAACATCTTTATTCATTATCAACAGCCGCAAAGATAGGAGTCAAACCAGATCGATCAAAATAGTGAATGTGGGAGGCTAGGCTTAGGCCAGTCCCGCTACGAAAACAAGCATCCGCAGAGCGCTTCCGTCGTCGTGTACTTGCGACACTTGTTTGCTGCAAACTATGTCGGTTGATGAGATCTTCCTCTAAACACTTCTGTGAACTCAAAGCACCCCGCACTCATAGAAATTAACGAGTTCAACGAGCTGGCTTCGTTCAGCAGTCCGCAAACGCCGGCAGCCATCTTTGTTGTTGTTTAAAATAGAGGCGAAAAGGCAATATTTTTTGAAAACAATAATGACTCTATATAGAGTATTTGTTTCCCAAACATAAAACAATTTCCAATCAACCCTTTACAAGTCAATCATCTCTCCAACCAATGAGAGATGTGAGCACCTTGTAAGCATGGGACGGGCTTAGAGGGTCGCGACTTCCGCATTCTGCACCTAAACTGCGTCAAGCGGCGTAATTATTGCTCAGAAGATTTTATATTTTGTAGTAAAATATGTTTTCTTTAATATACGTGACCTTTTAGAAAAAAAAAAAAAAAAAAACGAATTCATTGCAGTGTCCCTTTAAGAGCTGTTTTATCTGGAACAACAGTGTTTGAGCGTCGGGTATTTGAAGTGGAGTTAAAAACAAATATTAATAGTACAAATAAACAAGTAAGTAGAAAATTCCCATGAAGACGCATAAAATGAGAAATTCCCCAAAATTACAAGAAATTCCGCCGCTGCATTGTGCCCTTATAAAAAATACCAATGGAAAAAGCGATACTCGTTACGTCAAAAATAACACGTTTCTGAGATGTGTTACCGCCCGGCAAAAGGAAAGAAATACCGTTACCCTCTACCCCCAAAACTAACGAACGTCACCTTTGCGGTACTTTTGAATTGATTTTATTTGACAACGATAAGCTGTGTATATGAGCGTGTTTTTATATTGTTTTTTTTACATTGTTATTACATTGTTTTTACAATGTTTTTTTTTTACATTGTTTATCATATCTCCGAATAAAATTTGTAGAATATAAATATTTTCTTAGTGAACTGAAAAAATGATGCCACGGAGAAGAAAATGAAATGTTTAATATTTTCGCCGAATTGTACATAATGTAAGGTAACTGACCTACAAGCTAATTCAAGAACAATATTGCCGCGCGCGCAGTTGGACAACTAGGCAGCGTGCCCGTGGCCTAACGGTTGTCGTGCTTGCCTCCCACGCGAAAAGCCGAAATTCGATGCCCGGCCACGGATACACCTTTCTGTTGTTTGTTTCTGTAATGTCGCGTTCTGGTAAATTCGAAAACACTGTAGCTTATTCGAGATTGGAATGTTCTACGCGCCGAAACTTCTAAGCGGATTGTTCATGAAGCCCACTCGTCTACATAAGGGGCACCGTGTGGCGAGCAGCAGGCCGTCTCGCCACAGCGCTCGATCCTGCTGTTACGTCGACATCAACGCCTGCGACGCTAACCTTCTTCTATTTTATTTTGGGCGCAAGTTCGCCCTCTAAACGTTTATTTCCCAAGTTATTTGCCGTCTCAATATTTGTCATTCGTGACAATATGAATTACAAGTAACGAGTAACGTAATTTTATAGTAGATACCAAAAGCAGTAAAGAAAATACTTCACTCGTTAGTTATTTATAAATCTCACAAGTAGGCCCCTGCGTTACTAAGAAAAGCATCCCGTTACCAGTATGGACGTTTTTTTTTTTATAGTCCGGTATTTTGAACACTGTTCCGCTGCGCCTTGATGGTTAAATATCTGAACTACAATCACAACGGTCCGAAACCTCTAACGAATTGTTGCATTATGAAATAATGTTCTTAACAGTGTGGGTATCGTTTGCCAAACCTGCTTCCAATAATCTTCCCGTTTCCTTGATAAGACACGTAGTATTAGACACAGGTTGTTTCGGCGAAGATTTTCAAAAATCGCTAAAAACAAAAGGGTGGTTAAGAAAAGAAGAAACCTTCTGGGAAAAGACTGCTAGGCGTAATAGACAACAAAAACCACAAAAAATCTAATTAGCTAAATAAGTCAGTTAGTTTTTACCTAAATATTATGCTTTTGCCATCATTGAAGATGGCCGTATCTGGCAATTTGTTTCTGGAAAAAGCTTTTTTTTATCCACCTTTTTCGGTGCATTATTGAAACGTTTCGCTTAAAAACGAGGTAAAAAAGCATATGTTAAGCTACAGTGACAATGGTAGCAATGACATCACTCTATTGATTGACTGACTTTCTAAAATAAAGAGACATAGAATAATTTATCTTAGAAATTAAAATATCAAAAGCAGAAAATGTATTTCTTTTAATATTTAGATTAAGAAACGGTTAATGTAATGGATACTCGTCAGCTGGGACAAAATCCCTGCCGAGAATTTGAATAACACACGTTGGTATTTTTTCAACGATGTTTTGAGCAGTGCACGGTTGAAAACGTCTTTTCCTACAACGTCGGATCCCTTCTTACGGACCTGGTCTGCAGCCTGTTGAACATTATTCTGAGAGACCTTGGACAACTGAGTGGACCATTTCAAGTTGTAGTAAATACTATCAAAACTGTTCTTGGATTGAGATGTAAGCTATGTCTCTTCCTAATCGCCCCATCCTTTTCTATTGATAATTATGTCGAAGGAAAAAAAAAACGCAATTCTTCGTTTAAACGTATCTGTACAAATTTCGCTAATTTTTTATCTACTTATATTCATTGTCGTGACAGGCTGTCCCGCCAGTGTGTAACGTAGATGTGTCTAGAGATCAAACATGCCAATTTTGAATGCATAAATATATTTTGTTTTTTTAATCCAAGATTTTTGGTAAGGTTGGTATGGGCGCTAGAAACATTTTTGAACAATTTATGCATGTCGCAGATATTGAACTTAGAGGTGCGATTCCATGTTTCCACAAATGTTTTGCCAAGAAAGAATATTTTGTGCGAAATTACTAAAAACTTGTGCCCTAAAAATATTGTTAAAAGACATTCTTTGAGCTACGATTACTTTTACAGAAATATAACTTATTGCCAACCGTCCCCATTGAATAATATTAGGCTTTATAAAAAATGTAATGAAGATCAGTTCAATGGTTGTTACTGAATTATTTAGTTTAGCATAAAATTCTGTGTAAGTTTAAAAGCGATTTTTATAACTGTAAAAATAAATTACTTATTTTATTTAGACCGTCGAGGTGGACTATTTTATCTATGATTTTATTTAAAAGAAATATGCGTTACTTGCAGCAATTTATATATTCTAAGCTCATAGCTGAAGTGTTTTCATTCGTAGCGTTTGACTGGTTCCGTGTATATTAACTCAGAGTACCCTGAATATACGGTGTGATTCAAGGAGAGGCCAGGCTCTTTAAATTGACCGCAAAATTCGGTTTCTTAACCTATCGCGCCATGACTTTGTGCAGCGTTCCCCACAGATGGTGCATTTTTTTTTGTAAAGTTTGCAAAGAGCGAACTTACCTGAGGAAAAAGTAAAGAAAAAAATAAGGCTTAGCTCCTATGGAAACGCAGTGAAGCCACCGGTCTTCAAACAACACGGCGCCATTTCGCACGGGAGACAAGAGATGGCGCAAGCGGAAGCGACGCCAACTGCCGCCAACGTACGAGCATACGACGCCGAGAGCCGGCGTCTTTAGCAGACAAGGAACTGCAGTTCCTTGTTGTTACCGCGCCTGTTTTTGTTTCTGCAACCGTCGCCGCCTGCGGAACGCGCGCCGCTTTTGAGTCGAAAAGCTCGTCTGCTAAAGACGCTGGCTCTCGGCGCCGTATGCTCGTTCGTTGGTGGCGTTCGTTGCGCCATCTCTTGTCTCCCATGCGAAACAGCGCCGTTTTGTTTGAAGACTGGTGGCGTCGCTGCGTTTCCATAGGAGCTAAGCCTTTTTCTTTCTTTACTTTTTCCTCAGGTAAGTTTGCTCTTTGCAAATTTTTACAAAAAAAAGCACCATCTGTGGGCAACGCTGCACAAAGTCGTAGCGCGATAAGTTAAGAAACCGAATATTGCGGTCGATCTAAAGAGCCTGGCCTCTCCTTGAATCACCCTGTACTTGAGGCATGTTTCATATTAACTTGCTACCACTTGACGTCAGCTTAAAAGTGTTTTTTTTTTTTATCTCTCGTTGTCTGCAGGCTGAAGCTCAAGTGACACGCGAGAATTTAAGATGAAGCCGTCAAGGACCACGACCGTGCGATTAACAAGAATATTTTCCATATTTGTTACTTTATCTCGGATTCTCGAATTAATTCTACTTTTATAATGCCTTCAAACTGTTCTGAGGTAGGCCCTCATCTTCACGTTGGCACGTCCAACAAATTCTGGACTATCTTGTTGTTTTTGAATTGGACATTTTTCCTTTAACAATTTTGAGTAGTCTCTGCCCCTCAACAGTAAAATATTTCTGGTTGATTTACATAAATAATTAGCGACTTTATATATAAAAAAATATTCTCCCTACTCCTCTCCATATGTCCACATTTGAGACACATCTGCATAGAAAAAAACTGTATCGCTAAAAACGCAAATCTCAAGAACAGTCCACATATATATTAAAATAAACTTTGAGCGCACTGTTATAGTGAGCAAAGCAAAACCCACTTGACTTCTGGTACCTGACCACGTGACTTCTGGTGTTGTCTGGTGTTGTTTCTTTTTTTTACTGGCCCTGTGTGGATTCCTGTTGTAATTTGTTCGTCTTGTTCAAAGCAGACTGGCGACGAATAAAACTCCTCTCCATATTAATAACCTCTCTTCATAAATTATTCAACCCTACAAAAGAATAAAACATATATTCAAACATTAATTTTTTCGTTGAAGCAACTAAAAAAAGTAATGTGCTTCTAGAGTGTGCTGTAAACTCCTCCAACGAGCGTCATCTTGAATCTTTATTGAAAGAACTGATCCTAATAGAAGAAAAAAGCTTGCCATTAAACATTTCAAAGTACACTACCGGTTTAAATTTTTCAAGCCTTCTAGGTTCTTATGTGTAAATTCGAGTTGAAATTGTAATATGCTTTTCCTTTTGCTGAGTTCATATGTCTTTAGGAGTGCTATCTTCGCGCAGTAACTTATTTTGTTTGTCTCAAGTTTGGTGCAGTTGTGTAACTTTTTATAAACCTCTTCTGCTGTAAAAAGGGGGGGGGGGTGCAAAGATTTTAGGATTAAAACAAATTGCATCTCGTCAAATTTACGTTGTTTATCGTGTCCCGGAGGATAGAGAAAACATCTCCTTCAATAAAAAATGTCGCAATTTCGCTGCAAAAGTCGAGATTTTTCCCCCATCTGCAGCCGCTTGTGGCAGCCGAAGGAACTACAGCGAAAAGATTACGTGACCTCACTCGGCTCTAAGCTGCAGCATAACGCCCGCTAATGTCAGCAGAGAGGGGGAGAGGAAGTGCCCTACGAGGGAGCACACGGGAAGCTACACGGCACCCTGAGTCACTAGGAGGCGGACCAGGTGTGAGCCTGAAGGCTGGGAGTGAGTTGAGGGGTGCCAGAAATGCCAATCTTTATTTTTTTTAGAACAGCTAGGACACGCAGGCGAAATCGGTTTTCTGTCCTTTACTTCAGAAGTGTCGAAGGACAACTTCCACAAATTTTTGACCGAAGTGCGGAAATCATTGCAGCCCCCCTTTTAAAGAACGCCCAAAGTATAGATAAATAAATAATAATGTGACGTACGCAACGGGAGACTGCTGGCAGTGGCACAAACAAGCGATCGCAATGTTTTTCTTGCTTTACGAAGATAGCTGTCATGACCCTGTCCCTCTTCTTGTTACCGATATTGTGATGCACATAAGCAGGCTTCGACAGTGGCAGTTGCTTTTCGTAGAACAAACTGACGGCCTTCGCACTCAAAGACAAAGTTTCGGCTTTTGAGAATACCACCGTGTCATATAGACGTGGAGCAAGTTCAGCTTGTCGATTTTCTTCGTGTTCGCTTTGTGAGAGAGAGAATTGTTACAGAGGGTAAAATGTTACCTGGCACAGAAGGAACAAAACAAACTGCGGACAAGGGACATGTAAAGTATAAACTTAACCAGCACAATATGCTGCTAATGTGTATAATGTTGCCCTCGAATTCCCACCGTTAAAATAATGTTCCACGGTCAATTGCCGCCTGCAGACAACATTCTGAGAACTTTATGGAGCCTCTGCTTTCCAGCAAGCCATGGGGAGAGCCAATCGCTGCTAGCTAAAGCAACGTTATTAGAACCAACTCAGTTTTGGAACTCCGCTGCGGAGGGGGGTCCCTTTGCGTGGCGCCTGTTAGAGGGCGCGCGTTCCGCATTAATACTCGCTATCATCATCATTGACAGCGCGCTTGTGGCCGTTGCCATAGAGATCGTACATGGCCGTTGCATCTGGCCAACGAGGTAGAGGGGCTTAGAGCGATAAACCTGGGTTCCGGTCTGCACTCGAAAGTGACCCCCATAAGGAGGCTACCATAGTACGCAAATTTGACCACACGTCACATGACCAAACCAAATACGTGACGTCACAGGAAAGATGGCAGCGCCCATGCAGCGGCTGGCCCCAGCTGGTCCGGAGCTTGTCGGATGCTTTGTTGGTTGTCGTTCGTCTCGGCGAGTTGATTTCAGACGCGGAAGCCGTCATATGAGGCCGGTCGAAAGCGAGTTCAGAGTACAGCGTGGTGTTTGACGTAGGTATAATGTGAAAATACGGAGAAATGGTGTGCATTTCGCTGGTGACCGACCGGGATATTGCCACGGAAGAGACAATCTGACCCACGTTGTTCGGACCTCGGATTGATTCGGATACCGCTAGGATAAAATTTAAGGCGACGTTTCTGTGCTCTCGTTGACCATCGGAATCTTCGAGGTTTGCAGTGAAGCGTGTGCAATATATTTGGATACACAGTTTAGTGACGGAAATTGCCTGAGTCGTGCTTGGCGGTGTACAATCGCGGTGCAGCTTCGATCAAATGACCGAGGGCTCACTTCGGTTGTGCGGCGCACCGGAAGGCTGCCTTGAAGCTGGTAGTTCCCGTGCCGTGCTGAATGATGCTGTGCTGCTTACAAATTGTTCCGGCGTAGAAGTGCACTTTCACGGAGCACAGGTGTGCGGCTCACCGAAGAGCTGCCTTCAAGCTGGTAGTTCCTGTGCCATGCTTTAGGTGATGCTGTGCTGCTTCCGAAATTGTTCCGGCGTAGACGTGCACTTTCACGGAGCACAGGTGTTGCAGTTGGTATTCATCCCGCTGGTCTGTCGCACGTTTCGTCAACACAAACGTTTCATCCACACTCGTTACGCGAATTGCAAGCTGTCCGGACATTTCACCGAGCGTGTTACGTACCCAGCTCACACCGCTTTGTGGCAACAGTCTGCAGTGGCTCATTACCAGAAACGTGGTCCCACATCCATTTCAGTTCAGTTCGTCCACGGCAGTCGCCAAACCCCGGAGGAGAGGATTTATTCGGACAGAATGCCACTAAAGCAATGCAGCTTCTTCAGTGGTCAGGATAGATTCTCTTCTGCTAGTTTTGTTATACTGTCACGGATCCTTGTTCCAGTCTTATCTTCTATCAATATTCACTATTCTGGGACACTGCAGGTCATGCTCAGCTGTAATCGTATGTTCAGGTGGAAATACTGGACACTTTACCCGTAGCCCTTCACTCTGTGTGAACCCGGCGGCTCTTTAGCCGAGTTACCCGATAATGGGACACAGCTGGCGGACTATTCTGCGTCTTATACCCCTGTCGAGCCGTAGGCAAAGTCCTGACCCGAGCCTGGCAGAACAACCGCAAGACGACCGAGTACCACAAGGAGTAACCTCGGAAATACACCACGAAGCACCTGAAATCCGAGCCAGTTGCTGCTACCAGGAAAAACCACCGGAATTCGGTCTCCTGTCAGAAAATCCGAAGCTGACTAAGCCAACAATGACAAACCTGTAGCAGCAAACCGTGTCCCCTCCCACCATTGTTTGCATGCCCGTCGCAAATCACACTCCGACGCTTTTTCACGCAAGCTGTATGAAGACGTCAAGGACTGGATTGAACAATATGACAGTGTCGCCCGCCACATTGGGTGGACAGACAACCAGCTCCTGCAGAACCTATACTTCTCGTTGAAGCAACTGCCGGCGCTGGTCTGAGAACCATGGATCCTCCTTAACGTCATGGGAAATTTGCAAGATCAAGCTGAAGCGCGCATCCGTCAGCCAACATCAACGAAAGAGAGCCGCATTCTTGATTCTGTCCAGGACACTGCCCCATTGAGAGCTCCACCGGACTCGTGGAGGATGTTTTGCGCTTGATCGAGCGCCCACGCCCACGCCGACCTTGATGCTACAGAAGACAAGAACCTAAGAATCCCATGCGCCTCACGTGAGGGACAACACCTTCAGCAGCCTTGTCCGCAACCCCCCAACAACAGTCGAAGTGTTCATATCACTGAGGCTTCCAACATGGAATGTGCACTGCATGCCCGAGCCTGCCACTATGAACAGCTTCCCGGCGTCTCGACACTCGAGTTGTCCAGCTACTACTTCGACGCCAGCCTCCCAGGCATCCGCGACATCACCCACGACGTTGTCTAGGAGGAGATCAGGAAGCTACTTCCTGCCATCAGTTGCCCGGCTTTTATTTTGATTGCCGAGATTGTTTCGGAACAAGCTTGACAGGTATTTCAACCGAGACTTCTGCGAGCGAAGCGGCATCTGACAAACCAAGGGCAACTTACGCCACAATGGCACGACGACCGCCACCGGCTGCCCCTTAGTATTCAATGCCAATTCAATGAGACACTCTAACGCTGAAGCATTCCCGACATTGTGTGTAGGACTGTGCTCAACAAAGTACACCGAGGAAAACGTAGGTGATGCGAATGTGCGACCGAAAACCACTTTGCTACCACTGCATGAAGCCTACCATGTCTACCAAAGCAGCCCGTACCAATGAATTGGTCGGCGAGGGTTCGTGCCAAACGACCCTCGATTACGTCTCGAGGAGCGACCACGGGAGATTAAGGATTACCTTCGGCGACCTTTGTCCCTGATGCCGAAAGTGCTGAATCGAAGATTCTGAATCCCTGATTACCCCAAAGCTCCTCATGTCCATCACCTCAACAAGAGGTAAGCACGACAAAGCAGGTGAGCGGCGATGCATTGACAGTGGATTTGGTGTCGGTTGTCGTCCAAGGACAATACCTAAAAATTTGCTGAC